CAGAGAACTATGAAACTGTTTCCTGTACCTGCCCTAGAAATCTGGAAGCACCTTAAGTGGGACTGTTGGAGAGGGAAGTCCTACACTGACAGAAAATAATATTGATTACCACAACTGCAGTCTGACTTTCCCAATGGCTGTAACTCGTATCCTGAGAAATCAGTCTCTTTCAGGAAAAGTTTGGAATACATGACCTAATTATCTCTCACAGATTTCCTAAGCCCTAAAGTGATATAAACATCACTGTGGAGTGACTGACTGTCAGCAAGCAAGAGAATTGGGAGGGTGATGCATTTTAATAAAGGCTCAGTAGCTGGTGGAGGGAGTTGTAGCCTGTGAAGTTTTGGTGGTGATATGAAGTCTTGGGGATGGAGGCCAAATTTAAAAGAGGGAATTCCTCTCTATGTGTACATATAGTCCAAGCATGGTGGTACACACTATTAATATGGAGGCAGAGCCAGGTGGATCTCTGAGGACAGCTTGGTCTATATATCTACTACATAGAAAGTTCCAGGCCAGCAAGGGTTACATCACCAGAAGGTGTAAACAAAACAACAAAACAACTCATATACAGCAGTGTATACAAATAGAGTTGTTATGGATGATTAGCTTAGCAAGGGTCATGCAACAAACAGGAGAAGGAAGGTACCTCATAAGAGTATTCTTGGACTTGGAAATTCCTGTGATCAGTGCCAGGATGCAGACAGTACAACCCTTATCCAGTTGGCCCTGAAGTGGGCAGCTCCCTAGCAAAGCATGCCTCAAGTAATCAAGAACTTCTGTACTCTCATCCTAGCTACTGACTCATACTGACTCTGAGCATAGCCCCTGTTCCCTCTCTACTTCTCTAGCTATTAAAAACAAAGTAATAATCCCCACCAAAATAAATTATTCTAAGCTCATGTCACCCAGACAGGTGGGTTAGCTCACTGAATAATGCTAAAGCCTTCATGAGAAATTCTCTTCTTGGATTCAAGTGTGATTCACCACACAGAAACAGCCTATGGATGTGTATGATGTGTATCACTGTAAAACTGTAGACTTGAGGAATCTTTCTTTAATAAGAATTAGATTCTTTTTGTCCTTTGAGAAAAGCAAGCAGTGGCTCAAATAAGACACTGTACAGTAAGTAACACATAAATTCTCTCTTCCTAAACTGCCAGGTTTATCTCTGTGATGGACTATAAATCCATGCCTTCTTCTTCTCCTGAATGATGGTAAAGCTATTTACATTGCCAAGTATTCTACAGAATTCATCCTGGATAGATGGAGCCTGAGAACAACCATTTGTATTTGTCTGATATTCAGAGAGTCCTTAGTACAGCTGCTCAGAGAGTAACTTTTACCACCCAGAGATATTTTTGTGACCTAAAGTATGACTGTACTGGTCAAATGGCATCAACAGCCCTTCTTCTTCATAAACAAAACACTATCATATTTGACTGTAACAGCACTGTAATCTAACACAGTTTTGGAGGGTGGCCCAGGCGCTCAGGGACCCCTTACCTTGCAGGTACATGTTGTACAGTTGTCATACAGAAATGAGGATCCATTGTCATAAATATCACTATGAAAGAGGCAGCTCCCAAAAGGAAGGTCAGATACTTTCCTCTGACCTGCAGGAAAGCAGTAGAAAGAATAATGTAAACAAGAGAGAAGCCAGGCATATCCTACTTTATCATCAACAATTACCTCCATCATAGGACTGTCAAACATTCTCACAAGACAGGTAAATCTGGTGTACAAAAATGAGCTCTGGGTCAAATGTAACCAGGAGGTCCCCAAGAATTATCAGTTTGAAGAGTCATTGCATAAAAGTTTAATTACACAATGAAATGTACAGGTTCAAAAATTGTTATTACATGTCACTATGGTGGACATATCAGTATTTCAATAGGGCAAGCTATAGCGTTTTTCAAGGATGTGATACTTCTGTTGCATCTTAAAAAACAAGTAGTAGCCAGGCGTGGTGGTGTATGCCTTTGATTCCCAGTACTTAAGAAACAGAGGCAGGCAGATCTCTGTAAGATCAAGGTAAGCCTGGTCTACACAGTGACTTCCAAGCACACTGGGGCTATAGGAAAACCTTACCAAAAAAAAACAAACAAAACAACAATAACAACAACAACAACAACAAAAAAAAAAACAGTAGCTTTATCCATCAAAGAAAGAATGGTAAAAGGAATCAAGATATCTTAAGGATTGTAACTAGCAAAAGGAACTAATGAAATTAACATTAGCATCTGTTATGGTCTAAATGCCTGTCCCCACAAAATTCATATGCTGAGATTAATCACCAGCTAACGATGTGAAGAGCTGAGAACTTTGAGCAGTACTTAAGTCAGAGGGTGGAGCACCCACTGAAGCTCCTTTATGAAACAGGCTTCAGAAAGTCTCCTTCTCCCTCCCACCAAGAAGAAGAGCTATGAGCTAGAGAAAGCCTTCAAAGAGTCTGCAAGAACATTAATCTTGTGTTTTCCAGCCTCCCAAACCATGAGAAATACATTCCTGTTATTTAAAAGCTAGTCAGTCAATGGTATTTTTTTATAATAGCCTAAATAGATTCACACATAAACTCAGTAAAGAAGCTATGCAAAGGTATAAAAGGTAAAATTAACACATGAAGGCTGACCCCAATTCCACATGCCAAGTGTCCAACCTTTCAGAGGCACAATATCTGTGTAAATGGTCTGATTTCTCCCTGATGTGAGGACTGGATTGGTGACCACAGAGCCAAAACAGTATTCTTAGATAAGGAATAGGACACATTTTTCCCTTTCAACACTTGAATTTCTACTCCCTGGAGCACATGGGACCATCTCCAAAATGTTATTTAATTAAAGACTAAGTTAAGAAACCTGTAATTCATGTTCGCTGAACAAATTTATAGCCACACTCCTCTTTCTTCTTAAGAAAGATTAATAGCAATCTCTATTAGTAGGCCTCCTGGACTCTCTACCAGCACCTACTCACATATTAAACTCTGTCTCACAATTGCAGTTGATGAAAATTCCACTCGTAGGAGTCAAGGAAAAAAAAAAAAAAGGCTGTCTTTCTATGAGTGGTCAGTGCAGACCCAGCACCAAATCATCCGTTGGGTCTCAGTATGACAAATGATCTTGCCAGAACTCAGAAGATGACAGTGTGTTATACTTTGGACCCCATATTTGGAGTCCATAAAACCTCATATACGGATCTTTAATGACCTTATCTCTGATCTCTCTCTGGGCCTCTCTGACTTCACTCATGAAGTGGCATCAGCAGTGCTCCTGTGCTGTGTTGCTGTTTCTACCTGCAGTGGTAAAATGTACACCCAAAGTTATCTCAAGGTGAGACAAAATTAGCATAAGCATTTTTCTTGATGTGTATGTGTGTGTCATATACGTTGCACGTGTTCCTGTGTGTTCACACACGTGTGAGTGCAGCTGTGTGTGGATGCATGTGGATATATCTGGACATACATACGGATGCCAGACGTGGACATCCGGTATCTTCCTCACCACTTGCCCTTTTATATATTAAGGTTGTTCTCTCACTTGGATCCAGAGCTCAAGGATTGGGCTTCTCTAGCTAGTCAGCTTCAGGGGTCTTCTGTCTCTACTTCCCAAATGATGGGGCAATAGACTAGCCACCATGTCTGTCTGGCATTTACGTGGGTTCTAAGGATCTAAACTCTGTTCTTCACACTTCCATGGCAAGTGCTTTTGTCCACAGAGCTATCTCCCCATCCCATAATCATTAATATCCCAACTAATATATAATTCTTATGTGCTCAAACATGTCTAGGTATCCTTTAACTTCCTACAAAATATGAAATTCACCCCTTCTCTAAATATTCCTCTAAGGAATGCCTATAGTGATATTCTGAAGCGTGAGAAAGCTGTGTGACCAGAATCACGTGATGGACACAACCCATTATAATCACTTCTGCCTAACCACATCATAGTTTTAGGACATCATAGTATAAGACATAGTAACTAGGTTTCAAATATTTACTACAATGATGGTATTCTTTTTTTTACTAAGCTAAACATTATTATCTTTTTATCAATCTATCGGAGATATGTTTCTGTCCTTTAACAAGCAGAATATAGTCTAGATAATATAGAATATAGTAGAATTCTGTTTCAGTTAAATAATTTGTAAAGTTGTGTCCTGGTTACTTTGTTCTATATTTTATCTATATGTACTTCAGGTCTTCTACAAGTGACATCAATTTTTTTCTGGCAAAATGCAAATGTGTGTGTGTGTGTGTGTGTGTGTGTGTGTCTGCACAAAACTCTTTAAACTCTTTACAGAGCTGGACATGGTGGCACGCACTTATAATTCTAGCACTTGGGAGGCTGGGGCAGGAAGAACACAACTTCAAAGTCAGCTTGGCTTTCATAGCAAGAATCAGTCTCAAAAATAAGTGAACAAAAATCTCTATGTAGAAATTTAATTTTTTTCATGGCTGAGGCCCACATTTCCTCCCCAAAGGTCAGTTCATCTCAGAATACATGGCCGCTTCCAGTCTGTTCATAGCCTTTTGTTTGGACTGTCATTATTGTACTTAGTATTCTTGTGTAGGAGGATAGATAGCTGGATGAATAGATATTGATAGATGATAGATAGATAGATGATAGATAGATAGTAGATAGTAGATAGATAGATGATAGATAGGTGATAGATGATAGAGATAGATAGATGATAGATAGATAGTAGATAGTAGATAGATAGATGATAGATAGGTGATAGATGATAGAGATAGATAGATGATAGATAGATAGTAGATAGTAGATAGATAGATGATAGATAGGTGATAGATGATAGAGATAGATAGATGATAGATAGATAGTAGATAGTAGATAGATAGATGATAGATAGGTGATAGATGATAGAGATAGATAGATGATAGATAGATAGATGATGTGGAGAGCCGTAGGCCCCCACCCCAGGAAATAGCAAGACCTGATTCCTGGCAAAGCTGTTTTCCAGACATCAAGGCTGACCTGGTTTGAGATTAACCAGATGACCATACTTGAAAGCCTCACAAACATGTTGTTCTAACTCAGGCACTTACCGCTTGAAAAACTCCTTCATTTCTCATAAAACTGCCTAAGAAACTTTTTGTATTACTTTGTAATCATGCAGGTGTAACCTTATAATTGATTTGTGGCCTTACTATAGAATTGTGATATGGTGTTCTGTTAATAGAATTGCTCTGCCTCAATAGATTTATCCCTGCCAACTTCCCCCTCCCACTACTGCCGCTTTCTCTCTCCCACTTCTACCGCTTGTAGTTTGTGGTCTTTGTCTTTAAAAGAAGCCTGTGAACTGGGCTCAGGGCTTCTGTCCTCCGAGTGAGGCAGGAGTCCGTTTTGCAAAACGCCATTAAATCCTCTTGCTTGTTGCATCTCCTGGTCTGAGGACTGAGTTATTGGGGAGCGGCCTCCATACTCACTGCTCATGTGAGGAGCTTCTAAACTGACTCAGCATGTCCAGAACATCTGCTTCAAAGCATTAATGAGGTCTACTTATCTGCAAGCTAGGTGCAAATACCACTTCCTCTTTGATGGACTCCCACTTGGATGGAACAGATTCAACCCCATGCTTAGCAGCACACTGACTTCACGTTGGGGGAACACATGTCACAGCAGCCACAAAGCACACATTTCTGTGGAAATTTCCTTACCTATGTGTATCTAAGTAAGTCTCCCTTGCTCTTCTATTTCATGTTTACTTAAAAGTCTGAATGTGTGCTTGAAACAAGAAGGCAAACACTGTTAGTGAAATTTAACATAATACTTTACTTGCCAGTGTTGCTGCAAAAAGAAACCAAACTTCGAGGTATGATAATCTCTAAGGGAGAAAGTGGGGGAGTGACTTGGAGTTGGAGAAAGCAAACTATGAAAGAAAGAACAGGACTCAAAGAAAAGGTGTGTGCATGACTGACAGGAGCTGAAGCCCAAAGAGGGGAGACAATCGGTGAAAATTTACAAAGGGCAAGACAGTTAAGACCTTCTATGAACAAGAGAGCTTGGTATTCCATTTTATGATATCCTTCTTTCATTATGGTAAAATAACCCCCTTTGCTGACTGTAAACCTTCACCCAAATCTGCTATATAAGCCTTGATTCAGTGGGTCCACAGGATATGAAAAGACCATAGGGGAGAAAAAGGACAAAATGATGTCTGAAAACAGAACAGAACAATGCAGAGATCTAGAGAAACAGTCTGAGCCAAACTCCAAAGCCAGAGGTGATCAGGAACACTATTAGTCTTTCCTAGGATCGCTAGAGACTCAAGGAATGCCTTTTTCTCAGTACATTAAAACTTCTAATGGGGGGATGGAGACATGGACCAGCCCCTCTTGCAGAGGACCCAGGTTAGTTCCCAGCATCCATGACATGGGAGCAACAACAACTGCCCATAACTCCAGTTCCAGAGGATCCGATGCCCCC